AGTGCCAACTGTATGTTAGGGACTCTTCTTGGTTCTGGGCATATAATAGCAAAACAAAATCATTACCCTTATGGATTGTGAAAACAAATATATGAATATCAGATGGTAACAAGTGTAATGGAGAAATAACAGAGGAAGTGGGATGGAATGTTGGGGTGTGCGTGGACAGTAAATTCTTCTCTACAGAAGTAGATTGCCCAATTTTCCCTCCGAGAAGTGGCTGGTGGGTTTGAACCACCAGCCTTCTGGTTGGATGGTTAAATACCTTAGGCGCTATGCCACCAGTTGTTGTTATTTGCCATCAAGTCAGACCTGACTCATAGCGACCCCTCCTTGGGTTTCTGAGGCAGTATCACTTTGGAAGTAGTTTGCCCAAACTTCCTTCTGAGGAGTGGCTGGTAGGTTATGCCACCAGAGCTCCCCTTAAGTTCCTATTATATATAAATAAAGTTACTGGTCCGAGAAGGCCTCACTGAGATGATGATTTAAGGCCTAAAGCCACGTGGCTCTTGGGGAAAGGGTCTTCCAGGCACTGGGGCCAGCGAGGCTAAAGATCCTAAAGCTAAAGTGTGCTTGATGAGTTAAAGGGGACTGTGTGGCTGAAGAGCTCAGTGGCTAATTGAACAGCTGGTGGTTCACATGCACCAGCTGCTCCACGGGAGAAAGATTTACAGCCTTGGAAACCCTACAGGGCAGTTCTACTTTGCCCTGTAGATTCACTATGAGTCTGAATCAACTCCTTGACAGTGGGTTTGATTTTTGGGGGGCTTTGGAAGTCAAAAGGTAAGGGAGAGGGTGGGACAGTATGCCTGTGGACTTGTAAGACTCTGAGTGACATGCAAAGCCACTAGAGGGTTTTGGACCAACTTTACAATGATCACCCTGATTGCTGTGTTAAGACTAGATTAGAAGGGGCAAGGGTGGAAGCAGGGAGATCAGTTAGGTTACAGCAATGATCCAGAAGATGGCTTGGATTATGGGGGTAACAGTGGCTGGGGTCTAAATGTATCCTGAAGGGCCAGCTGATGGATTTGCTGATGGATGGGATGGAGAGCGGGAGAAAGGCTTAAAATAGCTCCGGTGACTCAGGCCATAGTACTGAGGTTGTCAGATCTCTTGAAGATAACCCTTTCTAGGTCTGTTTGGGGCTTAAGCCCACTGAAGGGGGCTGCACTGGGTCACCCCCAAAGGGGAGACAGTGCCAACTTGTGCTTTGACTTGAAGGAGATGAGGGGCAGAACCAGGGGAAAAGGGGTGGAAGTTCTGTGAGGCACTGGCCCATGATGCTGGGTGCAAGCCAGCCCCTTCCCATACTGAGGCAAGGTGGTCATGACCGTGGGATGCCAGGGAATGCTGGCTGCCTAGTGCCAAGGCCTTGATACATCTGTTTTTTTTTTTTGGGGGGGGGGGGGGGGGGGTGCATTTTGCCCACTCTAAAAAAAAAAAAAAAAAAAACCAAACTCACTGCCAACCCTAGCAAGAGAAAAATCAGAGCTGGATTGATTTAGAAAGAGTGGGTGCTGTGTCATTTCCTATACCCACGTCTGGTGGGACAAATCAAGACCCACTATGCCTATTTTGTAATGTTTCACTTTTGTTTTTAAAGACATACATGTATGACTTAGGTAACCAGAATAAAATGTATTTTTAGAAAGAATGGTGAGGTGGTCAACAATAATCAATTCAGAGTCACAGAGATTGGTAACTGAGAAGAGAGTAAGGTAGGAAGTGGTATCTTCAAGGGAGTCAGAAGGTAATTGCTAAAGAATGAAAAAAACAGTATCACAAACGAAAGCAGTGAATATAAGCCTCATTTGAGAAGCTTGGGAAAGGAAGGAAACAACGAATATAAAGAACTCACACATGTCACGTAATTTGGAATAAAGTTTATTAAATAATATGTACAGCAAATATAGTAGTAATTCAACACTTCTATTGATCCAATCAATCCACTGCAATAAAGAAAAATGAACAGAAGAAAAATCTGTGTCTGCATAGTACATGCTCTCAGTGTGTAATTTAAATGGCAATACTTTAAATTAATTGGTTATATGTCATGTCATTTATTTTTTTCAGGATATCTTAGCATTTTTTGTAGTAATCTGTTCTAGCAATAGGACTTAATACTACTGCAGATGAAAAAAGGACTCAAAAACAAAAGACTCAACAAAAATTAAACTATAACTGAGATTACAGTTACCTTCTCTCCCAGAAAGAATGACTTAACATTCTAACACTTTACAATGGCTATTTTTGTGCTAAAAACCTGCAGGTGAGTTATTTGGAATTTCTTCATGTAAATAAAAATGCAAAAAACTTCATAACTTCCTCACATCACTTCCACCTCCGTTCAAATTTTGTAAAATTATTTTTCTATACAAGGTAGGTACATGGGCTATACAAAGTTAAATATACATATTTACAGTCCCACTTCGTAAGCATATGATTTTCCTTTTATTGATCCCAGAGAGACTGCAAAAGGTAAGTAGTTTGGAGCTCACCTTTAGCTGGAAGCATGGCTAAGATATCAAAATGGGTTGCCAGGCATGCCGCCAGTTAGTTGCACTTGCTATTAATAAACGTGTATAAACATTTCAGCATAAAAATAGGTATTTTATGTTATTAAATGTTTGAAGACAAAAGAGCAAGTGGAATCCTTTGTTCCTTGTTTTATCATACACAGGAAGCTGAAGTTTGATGCAAATTTTAACATATGATTTTATTAAAGACGGGCGGGTTGGTGAGGCATACTTGGGTTTCTGGATATACAAATGCGTGAGGCTGGCATCATATGCAAATGTGGCTTTACAAATTGGTTTTATCTTCTAGCTGTATTGAAAGAGGTGTTCCAAATTACCTACTTAATCAAGAACCACCCCTTAAGAAACTATTAGATAAGATCATGTTATTAATAGTTTGAATCTAAGAAAGACCAGGAAATACTTTAGCCATTACAAGAGTTATGTTCCAAAATGGGTGAAATGCTGCCGTGCAAAATGCACTTCTACTATATTCCCTCAGAGAGAGAGAGAGAAAGAGAGAGAGAGCCAGAAAAACAGGGCTCTTGGATACCGGAGCAGACCTTCTACAGTAATGGGTGTTATTGTTACTAGGTCCTAAGAAGTATCAAGAAGGCCCTTTCTTTCCAGGAAGCACACCACCGGCACCCCATTAAGTCCACAGCCTTTCCCCTTGGGGTTAAGGTTCTATCTCAGTTAAAAGTAAATATCTCTGGGAAGAGGTGACACACACCTCTTATCAGTCATTTACACTGTAGTATGAATGAGACCATGGTAGTTTCTTTCCTGAGAGCAGGATTTGAAAGAAGGGACAGGAAGAGTGAGGGCACTGTGGCTGATTGATGGGGGTAGGAAGTTGGTGGGTGGCTAAGACGGGGGCAGAAGCTAAGGCAGAGGCACTGAAGATAAACTTTGCTACTTATACAGACTCCTAACTTGGGGACAGCCATCCAGGGGTAATTCTGAGTTCCATGCCAGGAGTTCCTGTACACACCCCTTCCACCCTGAACTGCTTGCTACTCCTGTTTGTGATCTTGGACGTGCAGCTGTGGGGAGAATGAGCGTTTGGAGATACTGGAAACAGTCTGATGCATCTCTAGTCACAAACTCCCCTCAAACAAAGGTTCTCCCAGCATCCTAGCTGCTTAAAGGTGAGCTGAGCTAACAGTGACAGAAATACAATGCTTTCCAGGATCCCTCCAGGGGAAATGTATCACCTCCTCACTCATACCCTTCTTAGCACTTATCACAGTCTCTCTTTATTTCCCTTTTTTCTGCCTGTGTCTGTTTTCCCAATCACCTCTGAGTTCCCAGAGGGCAGAGAACGGGTCATTTCCATCCTTGTCTCCCCAAAGAGTCTAGCAGAGAGACCCTGAACTGGACAAAGCTATGACTGAGCACCCCAGAGCTGGGCAGGGGGCCTTCCTCCTCAGATCTGGCTGCCACAAAGGCCTGACCTCCTGGGTCACCACTGGGAGTGGCAGCAGCACAGCTCCTAGCCTCACAATGGGGCCCTGTACCTTTTGCTCTGAGCAGAAGCGTCATAAGTGTGCATTAGGTTCCTAACGTCAAGTTACCGCATTTCAGGTTGACACGGTAAGTCCCCTCTAAGGCTTGGAGTGTGTCTAGCTCACCTGCATCCCCTGCACCTGGTATCTATCAGTAAGTTATGACAGAACGCTAGTCTTGGTTTTCTGGGAGAACAGGCCTACTAACCCCAAACCCTGCAGCCAAAAACAAGCCAGAAAAGAAAGATTAGAAAGGTGTTCTGTCAAAGGAGGCTGCATTGCCCTGAAGGTGACCATTTATAAAAGCCAGCTATACGGAAAGGAACACACTGCAGAACTACAGGGCTTCTTGACATAATCACTCAGAAATACGAATTGAGCCTATCTGCCTGGCCGCCAGCTCCTCAGCCCTCCGGGGCAAACCATGTGCCCTTTCCTGTCGGAATGCCAGGGGAGCCCAGGGCAATGCCGCACCACCTCAGAATGCATTTCCTATCCTTACGCCTCTGCTATGCATGGGGTCACCAGGAGTTGCGGGCCAACTCTGGGGGATCAGCTGGCTCCTGAAAACAAAGGACCAAGGCTGGGGGAGTTGGTGGGTTCACAGGCTGGGGATCTGCCTGGCTGAAGGTCTCCCCTTTGAGTCGAGGCTGGGGCAGCGTGAGGCATTTCTGGCCTAACTCGTCTCCCAGACTGTGCTCCGGGTCGGATTGCCCAAGAGGCGGAGGGGAGAGGAAGGCTGGAGCAGCTCCAAAAGCAGCTAAGTAAATACGGTTTTGCCTCATTCCATTTTGCTCAGCACACAGTTCAGCCCTGCCTGATACACAGCTCAGACAGGCTTGGGTTAAACACAACACTTCTCTCTGTCCCTCTTTTTTGCTTCTTACTTTATCCACTGCATTAATTATCCTATTGACTCAATGTTTAAAGAAAGAGCCAGCCTGGTTCAGGAACTCTGCTTCGTCCTCCAACAAAAAACAATCTCGGTGGTTTTGTCTTCTTACAGATACAAAGGTTTTACATAATTTCCTGGAAAAGTACCAAACTGCCTTGTCCTTCTTGATGTACCTATTAAAAAAAAAAAAAAAAAAAAACACATAAAATGAGAAAGCCCACTGGTGGGAGTTCAGAGGGAGAGACTTCTGTTCCCGCATCATTTGACAACAACCTCTTAGGTTTATAGATAGGAGCTCTGGTGGCATACTGCCTGAGGCATTTGACTGCTAACCAGAAGGCTGGCAGTTCAAACCCACCAGCCACTCCTTGGAAGGAAGGTTGGGCAATCTACTTCTGTAGTGATACCGCCTCGGAAACTCAAGGAGGGGTCGCTATGAGTTGGGTCTGATTCAAGGGCAGTGAGTTTGGTTTTTGTTTTTAGGCTTGTAGATAGCAGATTGTTTCCAAAGCACTTCCCCTGGGTTATCTCATTTCGGCTGCAGAATAATGCTGAGTGGCAAGCAAGGCAGGCATTTCTAATAGTCCTGTGTTTCAGGTGAGGAAATCCAGAGAGCTTAAGTGACATTTCTGAAATCTTATAGTGGCACAACAGTTAAGTGCTTGGCTGCTAGCTGAAAGGTTAGCAATTTGAACCAATCCAGTGGCACTGCGGTAGAAAGACCTGGCAATCTGCTCCTGTCACGATTGCTGCTGTTGTTGTTATGTACCATCGAGTTGGACTCGACTCATAGCGTCCCTCCTTGGGTTTCTGAGGTGGTATCACCACAAAAGTAGATCGCCCTATCTTCCTTTCGAGGAGTGGCTGGTGGGTTTGAACCGCCAGCCTGCTGGTTAGCAGTCAAGTGCCTTAGGCACTATGCTACCAGAGCTCCTCCTATCAAGATTATAGCCTAGGAAACCCCACAGGGTGGCTCTAGTCCAACACCCTTGGTTGCTATGAGTTGAAATTCACTCAATAACACCTAATAGCAACAACATAGCCTTGTAAATGTCAGAGGCAGGAACTGAACCCAGGTCTTCTGACTCCCAACCCACTGCTTTTTTCAATACTTCTCATTTTGGGACGAATTATTGCACACTTGTCCAATACAACAAGATACCTGAGATTTATAATTTCTAAACTGCAGGATTTCTGAAAGTCCACTGGCTATGACTCAGTTCCTCTCAGAAGCCTGTGCTTAAGTCCCTAATAGACTCTGGCTTTGCTACTGACCTCGTCAGGGCTTCCGGACCAGGAGTAGGGAGCCCAGGCTGCTCCACCCCGGACCTGCTAAGTTCCTAATCTAGATCCTTCCCCTGGGAATCTCTCTCTAAAGCTCAGGTGGCAGATACATGCTGGGTCATCACTCCCTTCTTCCTGGCAGACATCACAACCCACTTTGTTTGGACTATGTCAAAGCTAAAGACACCTAAAACATCCAGTGGAACCCCTATCTATTTACTGGAGAAGGGAAAGTAGGTTGGAGAGAACTGCAATGGCAAGGAATCGCCTGTGCTCCTATGACTGTTAGCACCTTTCCCTATGGATAAGGAAGTACTCTGTGGGCTACTTCATTCACAGTCCGGCTGACTATGATCAGTTGCTGTCAAGTGGATTCCCACTCATGGTGACCCCATGGGCTACAGAGCAGAACTCCACGCCACAATGTCTGCAATGGCTGTGACCTTTCAGAAGGAGAGCACCAGGCCTTTCTTCTGAGGCACCTCTGGGGAGATTCGAACCACCAATCTTCTGGTGAGCATCTGAACGCTTAATGCTCTGTGCCACCCAGGGACTAGAGTCTGACTACTGGGCTACTTTTTGAAGTGGTGGAGGAATGTGAGGAAGACACTCTCAAGGTATTTCCTTTACCCAGCTGCCTGGTATACCTCCATTAGAGAATTGAGACTCTCCCCCATCCCCTGCAAGCACTTGTAAAAAATGCAAATACCCCTGGAAGACTTTAGTAGCTAAAATATACCACAGTTGTGCTATCTAATATGGTAGCCCCAATATGGTTAATGAGCACCTGAACTGAAACATGGCTGGTCTGAATTGAGACATGATACACACACACACATACACACACACACATATATGAGCTCTGGTAGTGTAATGCCTAAGGCATTTGATTGCTAACCAGAAGGCTGGCAGTTGGCTGGAAGTTCAAACCCACCAGCCACTCCTCAGAAGGAAGGTTGGGCAATCTACTTCTGCAGTGATACTGCCTCTGAAACCCAAGGAGGGGTTGCTATGAGTTGGGTCCAACTTGACGGTACATAACAACATAATTGTAAAATGCCCATCGGATTTTGAAGACTTATACGCGAAGAATGTGAAGCCTGTCACTGATAATTTGTTATATCGATTACAAAATCAAAAGATAGTATTTTGAATATATTGAGTTTAATATAGTATACTGTTAAAATTAATTTTACCTGTCTCTCTTCACTTTTTCAATATGGCTTCTAGAAAATTTTAAGTTTTGCATGTGACTTGCTTTATGTTTCTATGGCCTATGCTGCACTAGAATGTCACTGCTCCAGTCTGATTTTCTTCTAAGCAGACTGGCTCAAGGCTTTCTAAGAAGCTGGTGGGGACAAGCCAACTCTTTCTGGCATCTCTTATGCTGAGGCCTTGCTGTACTCCCCAACTGGCCTGACATTCCTTCTCCTTTACAAAGCTTTTCCAGAGAGATCAGGGAAGAACTGGTCTTCGGAAAGAAGATAAAGGTAAAGCCATCCATAGAAGGAAAAAGGGAGGCAAAGAGTAAGTCAGTGGCTCCCAACACTGTATTCATACCTGGCCAGAAAGAATATAGACCTGGGGAGAGAGAAACCTGAGTTTAAATCCTGACCCCACCATTTACTCTCTGGGTGACCTGGGGTTAGTTACTTAGCCTCTTTGGGCCTCAGTTTCTGAATCTGTTAAGGAAGATCATTCTTATCTTACAGGGCTGTTTGCTGAGAAGAATTTGGTAAGAAAGCATATTCAGTACAGCATTCAGTTTGTAATAGAATCTAAACAAATGTTGGCCTTTTTCTTCCCTTTCCAATAAATGTGAAACTTTTGTTTCAATCAAATTAGTTGCTTTGATTAAAGTTACCAGAAACCAGGAGTAAGTGAGGTCTTTGAAATCTCTACACATGTCTGAGCTTCATGGCACAGATCCAGGCCCACACAAAATTTTGTGTTGTTTCCTGAGACTTTTAAAAAACAAATTTTCCATGCACAGAATGGACATATGCACATTAGAAATGTGAACTGAAACCTCACTCATGAATTGGGTAACTACCCTTCTGTGCAGCAGGTGCTGGCAGAGTTGGGTGTTGGATTCAACACGAGTACCGTCTACGGTGCCTTAAGGGCAGACAGAGCCAGAGTGGCACGTCTTTCTCAACTGTGGTTTATGAATTGCGAAGGCTCTTCCGGTGCAGAGAATGTTGCGTTTTGCATGGCTCATTACTCCCGGCCATTCCTTAAGCACACAACCGGGAGGAAGAGGTTACTTACCAACAAACCACCCATCGTCACATTTTTCCATGACATCAACGATATCTCCATCTCGGAGTTCCAACTCATCATCATTCTGTGGTATATAGCTATATAATGCTTGGTAGCTAAATCTAAAAATGAGAAAAGTGAATATTAACTGACTCAAACACTGACAGGATTAAATAATATGTTTTTAAAACCTATTTCAATTAAATCAACATTTAGTGTTTCCTACTTATCAGTAGGGATAAAGGTATTTTATTATGTATTTCTCTGATAACTTAGCATTGGGGGAGATGCATTTAACATATATCAAGAAAGACAGGAATGGGAAACTTCTGTTAGTCTTGATTAATCCTCTTATTTAATGTTATTTGGTTACCACACCTAAGTGTTTTTGTCCAGATGCCTGCATTCCTTAAAGTTAACCAAGGCTTTTTCTTAACCAAGAGTAATTATAGAGATTATTAAGAATAATGAGAAATTACTTAGGTCTGGAGACATTAATAAGATCAAATTAAATAATATTTATTTTTATGTCCTCTGGTCATATACACACTGGAGAACATTAGGCAATTAAATATGTAACAACTAAATGTAACTAATTTCTATACAATATATGAGGGAGCTCTGGTAGCATAGTGGCTAAAGCACTTGACTGCTAACCAGAAGGCTGGCGGTTCAAACCCACCAGCCACTCCTCAGAAGGAAGATGAGGCAATCTACTTCCATAGTGATACTGCCTTGGAAACCCAAGGAGGGGTCACTATAAGTGGGGTCCGACTCGATGGCACGTAACAACAACAACAACATACCATGTATGTAAAAGGTATAAAAAGTAGGTTTTTCTCCTAATACTATGTATATATGGGTGTGTGTGTATGTATGTGTTATAAAAAGTAGTTTCCAATTGCCTCACTGATTTGCAAAACCACATTGCGTTTCTTTACATCCCTAAACACATTGGATTAATTGCTTTTAAATGTGGATGTTATTTTTCTTTAACTCCTAAAAGAAGGCTTTTTGCTGTTTTTTAAATCTCAGTTATGTTCAAGGGTAAGATCTTCATTTCTTTGCTAGTTGGTCTAATGCAGTTCAGTTTGTGGTGTTCTGTCTATCCTAGCAGTTGTCACTGGTGAAGTTTGACAACTGTGTTGGCATCAAAAAAAGCTTTGTGTGTTTCCATTTATTCTTTCAACCAATAGGTAAGGAGCACCTACTGATGCACTGATTTCACAATTCTATTCACTCACTATTTGCAACACAACAGTAGCAAATTATACTTTGTAAATAAACTGATCATCTATTTCCAGTAGACTTCAGTGGATTCCAATGTATGGGCAAGGAGAGAGACTGCAAACGGGAAGGTGTCAGTACCCAGAAACCAGAGCTTCATTCTGCTCTGCTAAAGTTAAAGGGATGATTTAACTTTACATATTTATCCCAATGTATTGGTCCTCCAGTGGTTGGATCTGCCTGCTACAAGGAAGGTATCTAATGAGAAATTAACAAATGCAGATAGATTTCTAGGTGGCATATGAATGCATTTCTTGCCCCTTTAATGTGTCTGTATTACCTGCTGTCTCCTACCCAAGTTGGATTCTTATGGCTGGCTTGTCATTGCGTGTCCTTGCCAACGACCTAGAATGCTTGGTCCCCTTAACTCCTACCATCACTGCTTTGCTGGCCTTGACTTTTCTGTTCCCATTCTGAGATAGTGGAGATGGGCTGGAGAAGGTTCCATGACTTTGCTGCTAGGGTCCACTAACTGGCTGTCATTTTGGGTGGGCCTCAAGTTGTCCCTGCCTCCACTCCCCACCAGTCCTGGCACCCCCGTCTCAGCAGAGCACTCTTCACCCCGTCCCCACTCCCTGAGATGAAACTCGCAGCAGGCAGTGCCTTCATCCTCCTGCCTCCACATTTCTATTTCTGTGCCTTCACCTTCTCTCCTGTTTCTGAACCCAGTCCCTGGAAGGGTCTCTTCTCCTGGCCACATTGGATCCCTTCCCAGGGTTCTTCCCTTTGTTTCTTTCCTTCTCTCTTGCACCTTTTGACTTCGTAAGTTCTTTTTCCTCTGGCACAAATGTGCATAAATCTCTCCATCCTAAAAATACCGCCCCCCCTCCTACTCACCATCAGTTCCTCATCAACCCTTTCTAACATAGCTTTGGCCTCCACCTCTCCACCAGTGTTGCTGTCTCTGAGGTCACTCATGATTTCCCAGTTGCCAGGCAGGTGCCTGGTGCACATTTTCACCTTCTCTCCTTCTTGGCTTCTCTAAGTAGGTGGCCAGCTGACCAAACGCAGCTTCTCTGCTCTGTTATGACTCTCTCATACCTTTTTTTTTTTTTAAATCTCTTGCAGTTCCTTCTTAGTCTCCTTTACTGGTGACTCCTTTGTTGTCTGAAAAGTTGGTTCCCCAAGAATCTAGCCTGAGCTTTTTTCTCCCTGTTCTTTACCTCAATCTCCTTGGTAATCTTATATACTTCCATGGTTTCAAAATGTCCACTCGGTCCTAGCTCAGGCCCTCATTAATACTTAGCTAGATCTCCTAACACGTGTCTTTCCCCCACCCCATCTCTGAGATCCACTCTCTACTGTGTTGCCAGTTATCTCCTCAAAACAAAATACGATCAATATGTTCCTTGTGTCAGAATCTTTCAGTGGCTCCCTAGTGCCTGCAGAATAGAATCCAAACTTACTCAAGAACATTCTAGATTCTACAGTCTGGTCCCCACCTTCCTCTTGACCATGTTCATGTGTAACATTCCCTCCATGAACTGCAGTCACACAGGCCTTCTTGCAGTTCTCACATACTACCTACTCCATGCCTTTACATGGGTAGTCCAGCTGGCTGGGAAGATCTTAACCTCCCTGTTCTAGCTCTCAAAATCCAATTTGCTTTTCAGTGCTCGGTCCAAGTATCCTTTTCCCTATACCTGGAACATAGGAAGTATCCAATAATTCTTTTTGTTTTCTTAATGAATGAATTAATGAGTCAACCCTGTTCATTCATCTCCAGTCAGAATTAAATGCCCCTTCTTCTATACTCCCACAACACTGGGCTTGAAACCAGTCAGCACAGCTCTTATCGGCCCTTCTAGAGCAATTAATTCTTTATCTCTCTCTCTCCCAATAGCCCGTGACCTCCTCTATTCACCTGCCATCTGCTTTCACACTGGCTGATGGGAAATATGACCTTAACTAGAGATCCTCAGAGAATCTGAGAGTGATTAGCTCATTCCCCCAAATGGCTGCTCTTGTATTCAGCCAACGACCTGCTTTCTAAGGCCAACAGCCCACCAAGAATGTGAGCAGGGCAGTTTGTGCAGGGTACTTACAAATCTTGTGAGGTCTGACGCCTGTCTGGGGTGACTCTTCGGTGCTGGGCTTGAGGTTGCTGAGAAATGATTAAAGATGATTTATTGTCAAAAGGGGACACCTTGTGATGAAAGTCAAGGGGATGAGAAACAGTGCTGCAGTAATGAACAGATTTTTCGGCAATGTTTATGATCTCATTGCAAACTGCTTCCTGTGAGGTGGCCCCAAGATATCCAGAAACCCCCATAAAACAGTCAACAAGGGGACAAAAAGAAAAAAAGAAAGAAAGGAAGAGATGTAACATTCCAGACGAAGTACATAAGTCCAGGGAAACAACAGAGTTGAAGATCCAGGTTAAATATATATATATATTCCAGTAGTGGAGTGCAGGAAGGATCCAGGCGTAAGCATGGAAAAACAGGTAAGATACAGAAGAATTTGGGATTTAGTACGAAACTAAATAAATAAATAAAAGGCAGCAGCATAAAAGCCTGTAATTAGTGAGTAACTGTTATAAATGGAATAATTTCAGAATAGAAATGCAAGTATTTCTCCCCAATCATGCACTAATGGATCGATTTAATCCCATATGGAGGCAGAGAGGAAATACTGTCTTTAAATTCCTCTGCTTTATTATTATTATTCTTTTTTCTGGGGGTGGGTATCCTAACATCTCTTTCAACTACAGTAGCCATATTAACTCTTTTAACTAGTGGCTTTGTGAGTTAACCAGGCATTACTCTAGTCTAGACTCGAGTAGTCAGTAAGGATTCTCTTTAGAAAAAGCTACAGTCTTATTCAACAGGCATCTTACCACATAGCTCTTTTCAGATTCTGTGAGATCAGGTCCTGCTCTCAATGAATGATGAGAAGGCTGTGATCACCAAGCAAATTATAAGGGAGACATTTTAGCAGATGTCACATTGGAAAGGATTAAAAATAAAAAAGCGTGTGCAAATAAACGTACCACACCATCACACTCAGATGATACTGGATACCCGTGGCCTGTGGCCACTGAGTTTCCACAACACAGTGGGTGCACGGAAGAAAATGCAAATGGACAAAGTTAGCAGCAAGCATCCAGGCAGTGAAATGAGAAATTGGAAATGTGGCTACAATGAGTGAGAATGAACACAGGGTCCCCAGACTGGCAGGAGAGAGACACAAAGAGCTGTCTTAAGAAACATTTATGTCCCTTCATGAGCCACATACATCGGTCCCCTCACTCTGAGCTAGCAAACATCTGTGGAGGTGGTGCCATATCAGACGCCAGTCTGTTATTTCATTGATGGGGGCTCCTCTGGCAGCAAGGGCTCATAAAACTACTAGGTCTGCATTACTTCAGTCCTTACACCATAGAAAAAGAAAACACCACCTTTGAAAAGCTCCTTGGTCGTATCTGAAGTGCCAGACAAGGCCTTCCCCTGGAAACATCTGCACATGGCTCACTCCAACTTGGGAGATGAGTTCAGACATCTCATAGGGCAGATATTTCTGCTTCTAGAGATAGGACTATGTGTCCTGACACAGCTGTAGAAATGAAACCAGTACTCTTCATCATCAGCCCAGGTACTTACCACATGCTGCTATGGAAACACGGGTGCACCCGTGGCCAAGCAGATGCACCTTTTAAGCAGGAGCTCTGATGGCGTAGTGCCTAAGGCATCTGACTGCTAACTAGAAGGCTGGCAGTTCAAACCCACGAGCCACTCCTCGGAAGAAAGACTAGGCAATCTACGTCCATAGTGATACCGTCTTGGAAACCCAGTGAGGGGTCGCTATGAGTTGGGTCTGACTCAATGGCAGTGAGTTTGGTTTTTCCGTTGTTGAGCTAGGGCTTAAAGGGAAGAGGGTTTGGAATCATTTTCCTTAGAGAGGATTCAATTGCAAACTCTAGGACTAGGAAGTCTCCTTAGATGAACATTTGAAGGGCCACCTCAGAGAAACCCACCAGGTAATGTGCCATGATTGCAATAAGCCAAAACAACTCCACGGCCTTCTAGAAGGGGACTCTGAGATCTTTGTATGTGACCCACTTGTTTCACAGAGAGGCCCAGAAAAGGTGAGGGCCTTCCCTCTTGTCCTAAGACCATTTCCTACCTTACAAAGTGTACATACTGACATTATCCTCAGTGAGCCCCACATAAACCCTGGTGACAGGCAGGACAGGGTTCATTACCCCATTTTTCAAATACCCAAGAAATTCCCCGATGCTGCTGGTGCACAGCAAGGCTGTAGAAGATCTCAATTGTCCTACCCTGAGACTCTCTGTCTACTACGTGCCAAGATAGATCTGGGTCGCAGCTCCTGTAAACAAAAGTTCTCATATAAACCAAATGATTTCCACACTCCAGCTGCTGGCCTCATGACCTCAGGTAAATGCAGTTCAAAGACAGAAGGCAGACAATCTCTTGACGTGATCTCTATGACACACAGAAGCCCCTAGTGCCCTTTAATCAACTGGATCCCAAAGGAGTGATTAGAATCCATCCAGTAAGCATCTGGTGTTGGAAAGAGGTTTGATGAACCAAACAGAAGGAAGGGCCTGATATTTTACTATCCTTTTATTTTGTAAAGCACATCTCACTACTTCATCACCTACCTCATTCTTGTCATCATCTGACTTTTGTACTAACCTTTTGATCTGAGAAGGGCAAATAGGAAATTTTAAGGCTCAGAGAAGTTTGAAGGCTATGCAAGGTCACGAGGTCACTGAGGGGAGAGCTGAGCCTCCCACTGTCTAACCACCATACTACCGCCTGCTTGGGTCATGATGGGAAAGCTGGTGCTACTGTGGGAGCAACGCCCAGCTTCTGCCACTTCTGAAAACTGGAACTATAACCTCTTTCTTGAACAACTTTTATTCCCAGTGCTCAAAGACATTTCCTATGTAAAAGGTATGGTGTGCAATAATAGATACCATCCAGTCATTAACTCAAGGGACCACCATACTGCAAGGGATACTGACTGCCCAGCTAGAACCTTCATTGGTCTCAAGGCCATTTCCAAAGCAGAGAATGATCATCATCATAGCCTTTACATCTGGATACTACAAACTCCACCCCATCCCTGAGAGGAAGGGATGACTTGGGTCCTTGCTTAATGTTTGTGGGATGAATGAAGGAAGAAGGCAAGATAAACATTTACCCTATTAGTTAAGATTCCATTTCTCCCTATCTGAAATGCATTCCTTAGATTTAAATGAAATATGTAGCTGAAATATCAGCCAGCTTTTTGTGGGGGATAGTAGGGGTGTGTGTGGCATGTGGCAGACCCTCAGTGGAGATGGAAACCCCTAATATCAGTCACAAGGAATAGCCCTTCACTTTGAAGGCTGTTAAGTCTCAGATTTTTTTTTTCTCTCTAGGCTTCCCTGACCCCACTTTTTAACCACTACACAGTTTTATATAGCTCTTCCTCTGAACCTACACTGTCCAATATGGTCTCACACAAATCCCACACGTGGCTCTTGAGTGCCTGAGCTATGGCAGTATGAATTGAAGTGCTGTGAAGCTTATAAACACACAGTACAAAATAATGTAAAATATCTCATTACTATTTTTTATATTGATTTTATGTTGAAATGATACTATTTTAGCTATATTATTAAACATTATTAAGTTATTATTCAAATTAATAAACTCACTGCCATCAAGTC